GTGAGGCAGCTGGCCTGCGGCAGGGAGGCCGAAACGACCCGCAGCAGCTGCACAAACGCCAGAGGTCAGGCCGTGTTTGTGGACGCTGACTTCTCCCCAGGCATCCCTGGGTGGTGGGATACATCAAAGACCCACATCCAGGAATAACACCCAGTGGAGGGTCTGTGGATAAACCCCATCCCAAGATGCCGACCCAGGAGTTAGCAGCAAGCTCTCCGAGGGTGGAGTCACCTTCCTCTTGCGCATGTATTTCTAGAAGTAGGTTGTACGATGGAGGAGGAAATAGCCCACATTCCAATACTATTGAGGAGGAAAAATTAAAAATAGTTTTCCTATGCTAGGTGTCCACTTTCTTTTTCTGATCGAAGTGACTTTTTTTTTTTTGAGATGGAGTCTCACTTTGTCACCCAGCCTGGAGTGCAGTGGCATGATCTCAGTTCACTGCAACCTCCGCCTCTTCGGTTCAGGTGATTCCCCTGCCTCAGCCTCCCGAGTAGCTGGGATTACAGATGCTTATTTTTGTATTTGTAGTAGAGACGGAGTTTCACCATGTTGGCAGGGATGGTCTCGAACTCCTGAATTCAAATGGGCCGCCCATCTCAGCCTCCTAAAGTGCTGGGATTACAGGCGTGAGCCACTGTGCCCGTCCTCTGAAGTGCCTTTTAACGGTCAGCAGATTTTGGCGAAACCCCTGCAAGACACCAGGTACTGAGGCTAAGGAGTGCCGACACAGATGCTCAGGTCGTGGTGAGTCAGGGGGGATTTCCACGTGGATTCCACGTTATACCTCTTTTCTTACAATGATCACGCTTGAGGTTGTGGAATGTCTTTTTAGCCAAAGACCCATTATGGGACAAACTAATCAGAAAAAAAAAAAAACAAGAATATATAGTCTCTAAGATCTAGGAGCTAAGACCATGATTCTTTTTGATTGTTGCTTGTTTAAATGGTTGGAAGTGCCTAAGAAAGACAATTTTATATGGCAAGAGGAGGAGACCAGGATGCACTGGGGAAAACTTCCATGACAAAAGTTATAAGGACCATTTTGAACAAGAGAATGTTCCAGTTGTGTGTTTAAAGTACTTGACAGTGCTCGACCCCAAGATGGGACAGTGTTATTTCTGGATGATTTTATATTGAAAGGAAGGCTCCCATTTTTAAATGAATAGGGCTCCAAAAGCTGACCTGGAAGTCTGTCTCATGGAATGTAGCTCGCTCTGCTTCATAAGAACATAAGGCATTTAGGGCTGGGTGTAGCGGCTCGCACTTGTAATCCCAGCACTTTGGGAGGCTGAGATGGGCAGATCATTTGAATTCAGGAGTTCGAGACCAGGTTGGCCAACATGGCGAAACCCTGTCTCTACTAAAAATACAATAATTAGCTGAGGATGGTGGTGCATGCCTGTGATTCCAGCTACTTGGGAGACTGAGGGAGGAGAATCGCTTGAACCAGGCAGGTGGAGGTTGCAGTGAGCCAAGGTCGCACCATTGCTCTCCAGCCTGGGTGACACAGTGAGACTCCATTTCAAAAAAAATAAAATAAAATAAAAAATTAGCTGGGCATGGTGGTGCACACCTGTAATTCCAGCTACTTAGGATGCTAAGGGAGGAGAAATGCTTAAACCAGGCAGGCAGAGGTGGCAGTGAGCCGAGATGGCATTACTGCACTCCAGCCTGGGCAGCAGAGTGAAACTGCATCCGAAAAATAAATAAAGAAGATAAGACACTTAGCCACCCCTGCCTGTAGTCCCAGCTACCCAGGGCCGCTGAGGCCGAAGCGTCACCTGAGGCGGGAGCTCTGGGCTGTAAGTGCGGTTGGCCCGTGGGGAGTCTGCGCTCCGTTCAGCATCATACGGTAACCTTGCTAGAGCAGGGACCACAGGTTGCCTAAGGAGGGGTGACTGGCACAGATGGGAAGTACAGCAGGTCAGAGCTCTCGTGCTGATCTCAAGCGGGGCCACAGCTGTGAATAAGTACTGTGCTCCAGCCTGGGCGACATAGTGAGACTCTGTCTCTTAAAAACAACAACAACAACAACAATAAGGTATTTTCACACTAACGAGGGTCCCTTGATGACCTCTGGAAATGCTTTTTGTCTCTGCGGTGGCCTCAAGGCCCGACACCCCACTTGTCACCTTACACGGGCTGCCTGGCGACTGCTGCCCCGAGACTGCTGTCCCCCAGCTTCGGCTGTTCCAGCCACACGGACTCACTGTGCCTCAATCTTGCACAGCTACTCCTGCCTCAGGGCTTTGCACTGGTTCCCTCTGGCGGGAATGCCGGTCCCGATCAATCTCCGTGTGGCTGGCTGCTTCTCTTGCTCCAGGGAGGCCGTCTCCGACCACAGCCATCCCAGCCCTCCACGCTGACTCACCCACGCGGCTTCATTTTTCTCCCTAGCCCTTTCACCTTCTTAACTACTATGCAAGACACTCATTTGATGTACTGCGGGTCTGTTCCACCAGAAGGCAGAACCCCCACGGGCAGGAATGTTGTCTCTGTTATTCCATGCTCATTCTCGGTACCTAGAACAGTGCCCGACACAAAGTCAACGCCCGGGAAATATTTGTCAGATGAGTATGACAATTCAAAAGAGACTTCAGGGACCATGTTGCAGAGGTGGACTCGGACTCAGAAGCCCCACTGTGTGACCGCGAGCAAACGTCTCACCCCAAGTCTGTTTACTCACCTGGGGAGTATGCTTTCTCCGTTCACCTCACAGCACTGCTGCGATGGACAAATGTAGCCCTGCTTGTGAAGTGATTTGACACCTTCCCTCCCTAAGCCATGCTTTTCATCTGTAAACTCAGAATGCCCCTATTAGCTATGCTTTAAGATCATTTAGCGCGCTTACAGTCCATGGTCATGATGGAGACAAAAATCCGAGCCTCTTTCATGCTGCCTGGTGCTGGCTGTGCTGACTCCTCACACCTGGTGACAGATGTACTACCTGGTACTTTCATCCTGAAGCCTCCACCTCTTGTGCCTGATGGCAACAGAATTCTGACCCATGTTGCTCATGTCCCTTTTGGGGGGATCCCTGCTTCTTACACTCCCTGCTGCCCACCCAGAGCTTCCTGGGTATGCAGTGGGGTTAACTTGGGCATCTGCTCTGCTTGGGTGTTCCTTCTGACCCGTGGCACTGAGATCGAGAGACTTCTCCTATCCTCCCAGAGAAGGACCGAGGCAGCCTCCCATCTACAGCAATTGCAAGGCTCTGCCATAGGTAGAGGGGGGATGGATTTTGTGATGACGGATTCCCCAAGGACTGGGGAAGAGCATGCGTTGTAGTTCAATGGAGCCATCCAAATCCTCTGCCATGCCTCAAAGCGGAATGGTCCCTGTAAGCCTGAACACAAATATTCCCCTTTGAATTCCTCCTGCTCCATCCTCAAAAATTAAGAAAGCCCTTCTCCCCATTACCTGGAATGGCCTTTGGATGCCAGCCAGTTCGCTCTCTAACTTTTGGGTGTCTCTCAGTTTTCACGTCTGCACTGTAGCCTTGGCATACACTGAAATTTAAATTTCTGAGATCTTAAATTTCCTTTTTGTATGTCAGGCAGGCTTTCCGTTATCCATCCCGAAGTCACCTTTGAACTTTTAGACAAGGGCAGATGTCACTTAACGTGACCGACAAGGGTTCCACTCGCCATTTGTTGTGTGCGGTGCTCGTTTTTCCCTTCTGCTTCTTTTCTCTTTTATCTTTTTAATCACCATCATACTATAAAACCAATGAAAACAAACTTTCCAAAGACTCTTATTTTCTGGCTGAGCTATTCCAACCTCTGACTTTTTCTCAAGCACGAGATAAGACTTTCTGATTAACTGGGAGTGGGATGTTTATTCAATCTGTTCGTTTTATACATTACGGAGACAGCTTTTTAATTTTTATGCCATGTCAGTGGCAAATACTTTTTGAAATTAATAAATACAATACATACCATCAATGTGTGAAATTTTTAGAACCCCCTATTTCCATAGTTTGACATACAAAAATGTACTCACACACTTTTGAAATCCGCTGTCAAATCATTTCACATCTGTACCTAAAGCAAACAGACATAATGTTAACAGCTTGTTAGAATTCAGAAATGCCACCCGCTAATCAGCCCACCTGTGGCATTCTCAGTCCATCTTGCAAGCTGCATAGCCTGCTGCCAAGAAGCTTGACAAGAAAATGTATATTAAATTATTGAATAAGATGGGAAATATTGTACAGTGTGCGATAAAGAGAATGCGCAACGTGTGGCCAATGAACATACTGTACCTTTTCATTATAATGCCTGCCTGGAGGTGACCTAGCTTCATCCCCATGTGCCGTAAATTATGAAGCTACTGCTAAGTTCCTGGATGCAAAGTCGCTAGCAAGGTTTTCATTGTTTCCATCAGGCTTTTGTTGTGTGTAATTGGCTTTGGCTAAAACAAAAACCAAGAAAAAGAAAAGCAGAAAGCAAATTTTCAACTGAGTTAGACAGAAACGACCCCATTTTCCTACAATTCTGTCCTGCGGTTCAGAGCAAACAAAGAAGGTTTCCTGACATTCCTGACATTCTTTAGAAATCGTAGTAGCTATCATGTCAATCAAATCCAATCATTAGGTATGATTTAAAATCCTAGAAACAGGATCTTTTGATCTTGCCCAGCAAAAAAAAAAAAAAAAAAAAGCCAAATAAAATGCAAAAGTGAAATAAAGTGATTAAGATCCCAGAGCAGAATGGGGCAGCAGACCGTGGAACAAACCAGGAGTGCCCTCTGCCCACACCCGGAAGCTTGTGAAATCGGCGTAAGGGTGACATTGCTCAGTACGATTACATTTCTACAAATTATTAGTATCTATAGAATATAAACTAACGTGCTCACAGAAGTCTCTTCTCTGGGGGTCTGTGGGTAAGAAATGTTATTTCAGCATCTGTTCTTTTAAGGCTATTTGCTCTGGGAAGGCAGTGTGTTTTGCCATAAATTTAGGTCATTAATTTGTATCTGTTCTTTGTTTATTTAAGAAACAGGACAAAAGGGCAGCTGCTGAAACATTTGGCTGTGCCGAGGGGTAGTGGGCTCAACATGCTGGAGTTCTGCACATGACCAGCTTGAGTTTGTATCCACAGCTACAGGACAGAACTTTATGGAAACACTTTGCCAAGCCATGTGGTGCTCGGCTTCCCTTTGCATCAATACCCTTTTAATTACCTGATCCTGCGGGGGAAAAAGTTGGGGAAAAGTGTCGGTGCAAAAGCCTAGGAGCCTGCCGGGAATCAGACTTTTAAAAAAAAATCAGCACCAGAAAATGTCTGGCAATTATTCTACACGACAGCGATATAAATCCTGCAACTGGCCTGCAAAGGTAACACTCTGACCTATATAATTTGATATTTATAAACTGAATCACAGTAATATCCAGTAAATTGATTGTTAACAACATTTAATGCTCTGAAATTGGCCATTAAGTGCATAATTATTTGAAAAGCATTATTGTTATTATGAAGCATTGCAGAGGTTTTATTTATTATCATAAACCTAATGGACTCAGTAAATTAGGTGTATTTAGAAAGGTCATTTGCTGCTTGTTGATACTGAATTCTAAGCACTTTAATTCAAATGGGTAACAAAACAAAGCAGTCTTTTCAAGGATGGTACACATTTAAGCAACTCCAAATAAACAATACAGAAGTCCAGTTCCTGAAATTTGAAAAACAATGATAAGAATGTGACAATAGCTGTTAGGAGTGCTTTAAAAGCCATATTTGAAAATGATAAATTTTCTCTTCAAAACTACATACTAGAAGTAAAAGAAACAAAGTAAAATATATCAAAGGTGAATTTCAAATAAATATATATATATTTTTTTGCCTAGAATCATATTTCTTCTGGATGAAATATGATGCCCCCTTTGCATTTTTTTTTTTCTAGAAAAGCCCTCACTGTGAGAAGATGTGGTAACCTTTTAAATATCATGGGTTTGCTTGTCTCAGCCTGCAGACCTGCCCTCACAAGCCACCTGAAGTGTTAATGGGTTTGTATGAATATAGGATGGAAATCAAATACTTCCCTGGACAGAGATTTTAAATTCTTTTTTTTTTTTCTGTTGAATGTGTTTTCATTCCAGTAGAAATGATCTTGTGTTTTTCAGACGCTCTCTTTTGAAGAAGTCATAACTGAAAATGTGGTTAGAACTCAGGACCTCATCAGCAGACCCTTCCCCGGAACACTTTGCATGTCTGAGGAACCTGCAGGCCCTTGTGGTCGCTGGAACTCTCTTCTCGGCAAGAGGCAGCAGGCGGTTCTCTGTGGAGGGACCCAGACGGTCTGCATTCAAGACTGTAAGAAAGACCCTAACAAGACCTGTCTTTTATTTTCTCTTGTACAGTCTTTGGATTCATCGTGAGGGTCACAGGCAAATCCCTAAAGTCTTGCTCTCAGAATAAATGTGAATTTCATTCAAAGAAAGGATGCATTCTTTCCCATCATTACATTGTTTTGTGCTCAGGTGGTGCAGAGGAGAATTTAAGAAGTATCAAGCCACATGATTTCTGAGAATAGCTGAAAAGATGCTTTTCAACATTGGTGGAAAAAGAAAGAAAAACAAATAAATTAGATGTGAGCTCTCATCAGATTTCTTATATTCCGAGACTGTGTTTAGAGAAGAAAACATGGAGGAAATTCTTCTCGAATATGAACATACCAGTAACTTGGTATTATACACGTACCGTCTCAAGTTCATTAACAAACAATTGGGTGGCTTCTAAGCAGCTTATCTGTATAGCACCTGCTACAGCTATAGAAATACGCTAGATATTATAACAACTAATACTATCTGGAAAATACGATGATTTCTAAAAGTCTTATGGGGGAACTTTGATGTGCCAAGTAGCATACCTAGACTCATTCTGTAGGCTTAGATTAATTTAAAACTATCTTTTTTTTTTTTTTTTTTTTTGGTAAAACAAAAGAAACCTAATTGAAATTATTCTAAAACAAAGGGAGAAATCCTCAGAATTTATCTGTCTTAAGGAAACTGATCAACATTTCACCACTGAGCTGGGCACAAAACACTTTGTGCTGGTCCCATCCAGTCATTATGTTTCAATTCTATTCATCTCTTGATGCTTTTCTTTTCGCTGACCCCTAGCCTGACTCCTGTATTCTCCCACACTGTCTCCTCCCTACTCCCCAAGGGTTTAGTGAATTTAAAAAGCACACACACATAAAAAGATACTGGATTCCCAATACCCTAGCCTAGCCAAAGATGTCTATCCAGTTCTTTACTGGGCTCTCATTGACCATAACAAAACATTTCATATGTATAAATAAAATATTTCTAATAGGAAGATCTGAGCATCTCTTCTCCTACCATATCCCTTCCATTCTCTAATCTTGCTCACTTTTCAATTCTATCCCCATATCCCTTGACTGCTGAGTTCTTCCACTTTTCTCTGCGTCTTTCCTCCCTCACCCAGTTCAGATGCTCTACATCTGATCATCTTCCCCAGGGTGGTTGTGGCCTTCGGGATGCAGTCTAGGTGTTAAAGGAATGATTATTCATTGTGATCTCCAAACACGAAAGCCCTCCACTCCTTAGAGAGGCTCTACTCCCTAGAGAAGAGTTTGGCAGCATTTTTCTCAAAGTGGATTAAAAAATGCATAACACTTAAAAAAAAAAAACCCCACATGGCATCTCTCAGGAGACTTCTTTTGATGCAGGTTCCATTTCTGTCAAGAGAGGATGCAGTGTTGTAGCAGAAAAAGCATTCAACTTGGACTCAAGAGAACACCCTTCCAAACCTGGCTCTGATCATCATAATACTAACTGGGGACCTCATGCAAGTCACCTGTCTCTCTGGGGGGGTCTTAGGTCCCCAGTGTAGAACTAGGGGTTGAGGCCAGTGACCATCCAAGGTTCTTCCAGCTCTGACACTCTCTGAGGCTAGGAAATGGGACCCTGAAACTTTAAAAGGAGACTTTCATCAAACTAGGATTTGAGGGCGGTGAGGAGGCAATTCGGGCTGCTACCCTCTTGGTATTTTACCTGCAAGTCACACATTTTATCCCATTTACCAAGATTTCTCTAGAAAGGACATCTAATAATCATTTAAAGTACAACGCCCCTTTGAAAACAATTTTTTTTTGAAAGCTTGAACAAATGTTCTTCCTTTTCTGGCAATGCCTATATGTATAGTGACAGGCAATAGATTGAAAAAAGTGGTCAACTTCATAATTTTGTCTGTTATTGGTGAATACTGCAAAGGATAAGGCTTCTTCTGAGAAATCACTCTAAAAAAGAAGTATTTTCTTTCTGATTCTATAGCTACAGTTAGATCAACCCATAATTCTTTCTATTTAACTACTATAGCCTTGTGTACATACATTTTATACTATTTTACAAATAAAATGAAGAAACATCCTTTTCATCTTATGTCAATAAATACCCCATGTTAAGTATTTTGTGTTGTAAAGATTTTCATCATTGGGATGCATTTCAGATATACTTGAAAATCTGTAGAAGATCCAGAATAAAGAATGAGCAAGACTGCTTGATATTTGCATGAGGAAAGCAGAGAAAAGAGGAGGGAGGGAGAGGGGAAGTAAGGAAAGGTGGTCAGGCATGGCTGAACGCTCTTAGCCACATTCGTGCACATATGAGCAAGACCCCTGGTCCCTGTGTCGAGACAGGCTTCGTTAGTACCACTGAACTTAGAGACTGCGGAAACTTCAAGAGTAGGGGGAGCTAAGGTGCTTTCCTAGCACATTCAATGTATTGTGCTTCAGTTCTGTGAAGTAGCCTAGAGAGTCTTCTAAAAATATCATCTGATGGCTAATGCTTTGGAAAGTACAAGTGTCATTTGGGCCACTGTTTTCCCCATTCCAGTTCAGCACACAATGGCACACCTTCTTTGAGCAGAGTCCTGTCTGAGATGTGGGTGTAAACCAAGCTTTCCCCAACACACAGGATGCCCGTCATTGTGTTCCTGAAGCTCTTCCTTCTGGCATCTCTTAATCGGCTCATATTTCTGAGCCCCCACCCAAATCAGTACCTACCTCAGAGTGAGGCTGCTCACAGCAGTGACTCTCACCTGCTTCCTGAACCCCGGCTCCTTGTCACCATGCTCCTCCCATATCAACCCTTTCTTCGAATCTTGTGTTTTGGACTACAGCCTATGAGTGTCTTCTTGATTCGGTCAGGGACACTCTCAACTCTTACCCTCCTCCAGATGGGCTAAAGAGAATGTTAACATTTAGCAATAAATGAGACAAACATTTTCAAAGACTTATCCTAGAAATCCCAAATGTCTAAGTAAAATTAATCATAAATGAGATATTTCTTGGATCCTTTTGACCTCTGTCCACTTAAACCTTTCCTGTTGGTGCTCATCATGTTATTAGGAAGTGATTCAGGTACCAAAAAGAATCAGGCTTAGTGTCAACCAATATAAAATCTTAACTTAGATGTCACATGAGTTTTTAAAGAAACATACACGAGGCCAACTTTCCAGCCCATGGTAATTCCCCAAGTTTATAACAGCCCAACATCTAAATCTATGGATTTGATAATCAAGCAGTTAACTTACTGAAGTAAAATTAAACTAACATCTATTAAAGACTTACTGTGTACTAGCCGGTGAGCTAAGCATTTTCTGTGTGCATTATCTTGCTGAGTTTTGTCAACTTACTTGTGGGGAATGTGCTGTCAGTTCCACTTTAGTATGCAAACTTGCTCATGATCATTATGGCTAATAAAGTCACAGTCAGAAAAGGTGCCCAGGCCTGACACCTAAAACAGGATCACTGTCCTAAACATTAAAATATTTAGTTCAGATTTCTCAAAGGTTAATCATGGAATACAGACTGGAAGCAAGCCATCTGTAATGGGAGCATTTGCTCAGGACACTGGAGGAAGATTAGATGATGTGAAGCAGAGAGCAGCAGAGTGAGGTGGCTCTAGTCTTCAAGGCCCAGTACTGTTATGCAGGGGACAGCAACATACTGTTCATAAATGTCCCCAAGGAGGGAAAGAAATGGATGTTTTCTGGAGTGTGAAAGATTTAGTTTAAATGTATAAAACATTTTCCCATATAGTGAACCACAGGAATGTGTCTTCAAGGAAAATGACAGAATCTGTTTCACTGGAGCCCTTTAAAACATAGAATAGATTTTCCTTTGAACAGAATTGGAGAAAACCCACATGGAGGATGCAGACTTATTTCCCTCTAGGATTCTGTAACCATTACAATCCTAAATAGTCTTCTGGCATTACGTTCTTTTAGCAATAAGTCATCTGAGATCATGATAGCCAAATATTTGTAGACTCAGAAAGAGGAGACTGAGAGTCAAAACTGGGTGAGATTCCATTATTCCTTTTTTTTTTTTTTTTTTTTTTGAGATGGAGTCTCGCTCTGTCACCCAGGCTGGAATGCAGTGGTGAAATCTTGGCTCACTGCAACCTCCTCCTCCCGGATTCCAGTGATTCTCCTGCCTCAGCCTCCTGACTGGCTGGGACTACAGGTATGTGTCACCACACTTGACTAATTTTTATATTTTTAGTGGAGACAGGGTTTCACCATGTTGGCCAGGATGATCTCGATCTCTTGACTTCGTGATCCTCCTGCCTCGACTTCCCAAAGTGCTGGGATCACAGACGTGAGCCACCATTCCCAGCCAATTCCATTGTTCTTAACTTCAAGATTACAGTTTAGATGAGAAATGAGTGTTGGAAGGAAGGGCATCAATCAAGTAAGAGGATTGTGTCCTGATTTAGTATTTGTTAATTAAATATAATCAGATCAGTCTTTTTCCTATTGCAGAGGTACAGGACTCTCTCCTAAAAAGCCGTTTAAAAGAGAAAAAAAAAAAAGTCCCCCACCCCCTTTTTTTGGTAGCTCCTATAGTAGAAGGAATTTTTTTTTTTTTTTTTTTTTTTTGAGATGATAGAGTCTAGCTTTGTCACCCAGGCTGGAGTGCAGTAGTGAGATCCGGCTCACTGTAACCTCTGCCTTCCAGGTTCAGGAGATTCTCCTACCTCAGCCTCCTGAGTAGCTGGGACTACAGGCATTCACCACCACACCCAGCTATTTTTTTTTTTTTGCATTTTTGGTGGAGACAGGGTATTACCATGTTGGTCAGGCTGGTCTTGAATTCCTGACCTCAGTTTATCTGCCTGCTTTGGCCTCCCAAAGTGCTGAGATTGCAGGTAAGAGCCACTGCGCCCGGCTAGAAGCAAATTTTTTAAACATTCACAAGCCCTTAAAGTTGTAGTTCACTTCTATTTTAAGGAATGAAGAAATAATAACTTTTGGAAACAATTAAGGTTTTTAGATCTTTACTTCTTAAAGTAATCATTAATCAAAGAAGAAATCTCTATACATGCAGCAGTTGAATGAGGAACACAATTTCTACTTCAATCAGCCACTCATCACAGGTCTGCATTGTTTGGAGAGACGCAGACTTGGGGAGATCATATCAGTAAGAATTCTGTCTGTGGGAAGTAAGAATTTTGATGAAATTTGGAACTCCGGTCCATGGAGCTGTTTTTGGTGATTTCTTAACGCTCTGATGGTATGCTGTCACCAGATGCATCATTATTTTGAAACTAAAAAAAATGTGAGAAGGCCTGGGAAAATCCTGT